AGCAAAGGCAATCTAGCCCGGAGAGAAAGGCTGCAGAGGATCCCAAGAAGAGAAGAAGCAAAGGCAAAGTAGCCCGGAGAGAAAGGCTGCAGAGGATCCCAAGAAGAAGAAGAAGCAAAGGCAAAATAGCCCGGAGACAAAGGCTATAGAGGATCCCAAGAAGAAGAAGCAAAGGCAAAATAGCCCGGAGAGAAAGGTTGCAGAGGATCCCAAGAAGAAGAAGAAAAGGCAAAGTAGCCCGGAGAGAAAGGCTGCAGAGGATCCCAAGAAGAAGAAGCAAAGGAAAAGTAGCCCGGAGAGAAAGGCTATAGAGGGTCCAAGAAGAAGAAGGAGCAAAGGCAAAGTATTGGTAGCCCGGAGAGAAAGGCTGCATTGGATCCCAAGAAGAAGAAGCAAAGGCAAAGTAGCCCGGAGGGAAAGGCTACAGAGGATCCCAAGAAGAAGAAGCCAAGGCAAAGTAGCCCGGAGAGAAAGGCTACAGAGGATTTCAAGAAGAAGAAGAAGAGGCAAAGTAGCCCGGAGAGAAAGGCTGCAGAGGATCCCAAGAAGAAGAAGAAGCAAAGACACAATAGCCCGGAGAGAAAGGCTGCAGAGGATCCCAAGAAGAAGAAGAAGAATCAAAGGCAAAGTGGCCCGGAGAGAAAGGCTGCAGAGGATCCCAAGAAGAAGAAGCAAAGACAAAGTAGCCCGGAGAGAAAGGCTGCAGAGGATCCCAAGAAGAAGAAGAAACAATGGTAAAATAGCCCGGAGAGAAAGGCTGCAGAGGGTCCCAAGAAGAAGAAGAAGCAAAGGCAAAGTGGCCCGGAGAGAAAGGCTGCAGAGGATCCCAAGAAGAAGAAGAAGCAGAGGCAAAGTAGCCCGGAGAGAAAGGCTGCAGAGAATCCCAAGAAGAAGAAGCAAAGGCAAAGTAGCCCGGAGAGAAAGGTTGCAGAGGATCCCAAGAAGAAGATGCAAAGGCAAAATAGTCCGGAGAGAAACGCTGCAGAGGATCCCAAGAAGAAGAAGAAGAAGCAAAGGCAAAATAGCCCGGAGAGAAAGGCTGCAGAGGATCTCGAGAAGAAGAAGTAAAGGCAAAGTAGCCCGGAGAGAAAGGCTGCAGAGGATCCCAAGAAGAAGAAGAAGCAAAGGCAAAGTAGCCCGGAGAGAAAGGCTGCAGAGGATCCCAAGAAGAACAAGTAAAGGCAAAGTAGCCCGGAGAGAAAGACTGCAGAAGATCCCAAGAAGAAGAAGAAGCAAAGGCAAAGTAGCCAGGAGAGAAAGACTGCAGAGGATCCCAAGAAGAAGAAGGAAGCAAAGGCGAAAAAGTCCCGAGAGAAACGTTGCAGAGGATCCCAAGAAGAAGAAGCAAAGGCAAAGCAGCACGGAGAGAAAGGCTGCAGAGGATCCCAAGAAGAGAAGAGCAAAGGCAAAGAGCCAGGAGGAGAAAAGACTGCAGAGGATCCCAAGAAGAAGAGGAAGAAGCAAAGGCAAAGTAGCCCGGAGAGAAAGGCTGCAGAGGATCCCAAGAAGAAGAAGAAGCAAAGGCAAAGTAGAAAGGTTGCAGAAGATCCCAAGAAGAAGAAGAAGAAGCAAAGGCAAAGTAGCCCGGAGAGAAAGGCTGCAGAAGATCCCAAGAAGAAGAAGCAAAGGCAAAGTAGCGAGGAGAGAAAGGCTGCAGAGGATCCCAAGAAGAAGAAGCAAAGGCAAAATAGCCCGGAGAGAAAGGCTGCAGAAGATCGCAAGCAGAAGACGAAGCAAAGGCAAAGTAGCCCGGAGAGAAAGGCTGCAGAGGATCCCAAGAAGAAGAAGAAGAAGCAAAGGAAAAGTGGCCCGGAGAGAAAGCTTGCAGAGGATCCCAAGAAGAAGAAGAAGCAAAGGCAAAGTAGCCCGGAGAGAAAGGCTGCAGAGGATCCCAAAAAGAAGAAGCAAAGGCAAAGTGGCCCGGAGAGAAAGGCTACAGCGGATTTCAACAAGAAGAAGAAGAAAGGAAAGGGCAAAAGTAGCCGGAGGAGGAAGAGAAAAGGGAGAGGAAGAGAGAAGAGGGAGGAGAGGGAGGAGAAGAGGAAACGCTGCAGAGGATCCCAAGAAGAAGAAGAAGCAAAGGAGTCTGGAAAGAAAGGCTGCAGAGGATCCCAAGAAGAAGAAGAAAAAGCAAAGGCAAAGTAGCCTGCAGAGAAAGGCTGCAGAGGATCCCAAGAAGAAGAAGAAGAAAACGAAGAAGAAGAAGAAGAAGAAGCAAAGGCAAAGTAGCCCGGAGGGAAAGACTGCAGAGGATCCCAAGAAGAAGAAGCCAAGGCAAAGTACCCCGGAGAGAAAGGCCGTAGAGGATCCCAAGAAGAAGAAGCAAAGGCTATATAGCCCGGAGAGAAAGGTTGCAGAGGATCCCAAGAAGAAGAAGAAGCAAAGGCAAAGTGGCCCGGAGAGAAAAGCTGTAGAGGATCCCAAGAAGAAGCAGCAAAGGCAAAGTAGCCCGGAGAGAAAGGCTATAAAGGACCCCAAGAAGAAGAAGAAGCAAAGGCAAAGTAGCCCGGAGAGAAAGACTGCAGAGGATCCCAAGAAGAAGAAGAAGAAGTAAAGGCAAAATAGCCCGGAGAGAAACGCTACAGAGGATCCCAAGAAGAAGAAGAAGCAAAGGCAAAAGAGCTCGCAGAGAAAGGCTGCAGAGGATCCCAAGAAGAAGAAGAAGCAAAGCCAAAAAAGTCCGGAGAGAAAGGCTGCAGAGGATCCCAAGAAGAAAAAGCAAAGGTAAAGTAGCCTTGCAGAGGATCCCAAGAAGAAGAAGCAAAGGCAAAATAGCCCGGAGAGAAAGGCTGCAGAAGATCCCAAGAAGAAGAAGAAGCAAAGGCAAAATAGCCCAGAGAGAAAGGCTGCAGAGGACCCCAAGACGAAGAAGAAGTAAAGGCAAAGTAGCCCGGAGAGAAAGGCTGCAGAGGATCCCAAGAAGAAGAACAAGCAAAGGCAAAGTAGCCCGGAGAGAAAGGCCGTAGAGGATCCCAAGAAGAAGAAGAAGCAAAGGCTATATAGCCCGGAGAGAAAGGTTGAAGAGGATCCCAAGAAGAAGAAGAAGCAAAGGCAAAGTGGCCCGGAGAGAAAAGCTGTAGAGGATCCCATGAAGAAGCAGCAAAGGCAAAGTAGCCCGGAGAGAAAGACTGCAGAGGATCCCAAGAAGAAGAAGCAAAGGCAAAATAGCCCGGAGAGAAAGGAGAGAGAGGCTGCAGAGGATCCCAAGAAGAAGAAGTAAAGGCAAAGTAGCCCGGAGAGAAAGGCTGCAGAAGATCCCAAGAAGAAGAAGAAGCAAAGGCAAAAAATTGGTAGCCCGGAGAGAAAGGCTGCATTGGATCCCGAGAAGAAGAAGAAGCAAAGGCAAAGTAGCCCGGAGAGAAAGGCTGCAGAGGATCCCAGTAAGAAGAAGAAGAAATAAAGGCAAAGTAGCCCGGAGAGAAAGGCTGCAGAGGATCCCAAGAAGAAGAAGCCAAGGCAAAGTAGCCCGGAGAGAAAGGCTGCAGAGGATCCCAAGAAGAAGAAGCAAAGGCAAAGTAGCGAGGAGAGAAAGGCTGTAGAGGATTCCAAGAAGAAGAAGCAAAGGCAAAATAGCCCGGAGAGAAAGGCTGCAGAAGATCCCAAAAAGAAGAAGAAGCAAAGGCAAAGTAGCCCGGAGAGAAAGGCTATAAAGGACCCCAAGAAGAAGAAGAAGCAAAGGCAAAGTAGCCCGGAGAGAAAGACTGCAGAGGATCCCAAGAAGAAGAAGAAGCAAAGGCAAAGTATTGGTAGCCCGGAGAGAAAGGCTGCAGAGGATCCCAAGAAGAATAAGAAGCAAAGGCAAAGGAGTCCGGAGAGAAAAGCTGCAAAGGATCCCAAGAAGAAGAAGCAAAGGCAAAGTAGCCCGGAAAGAAAGGAGAGAAAGGCTGCAGCGGATCCAAAGAAGAAGAAGAAAAGGCAAAGTAGC